GGATGGATTGGTAGATAGGAACATGGATGGATGGAGAGATGGATGGATGGATGATTGGATGGATGGATGGACAGATAGATGGACAGATAAACAGATGCAAGGATGGATGGATGGATGGATGGATGGATGGATGGATGGTAAGAAAATGGATAGACAGACAGATGCAAGGATGAATGGACAGATGGATTGGTAGATAGGAACATGGATGATGGATGGATGGATGGATGGATGGATGGATGGATGGATGGATGGATGGACAGATAGATGGACAGATAAACAGATGCAAGGATGGATGGATGGATGGATGGATGAATGGATGGATGGACGGACAGATGGATAGATGGACAAACAGATGCAAGGAAGAATGGATGGATGGTTGGATAGATGGACAGTTGGGTGGATGGATGAATGTAGCTAAGTAGACAGAGATATGGATGTAGACACATACAAGTGGGTAAATCAATACATTAGCTACATACATTGATGGTATGCATATAGGTCCATACATATGCAGATAGATCAGTAGACAAAAGGATAGATCTCAGCCAGATGGATGGATGGATACAGAAGCAGGAAGGTACATAGAGAGGGTAATAGATTAGATGATTAGATTAGATTAGATGAGATTAGATGGTCACACAGATAAATATTGTTAGATGCCATCAAGCTAATAATACTCAAAGCAACTTTAGGAACAGATCAAAACCATTCCAATATCCTTATAAGAAAATAAATTTCTGTTTGAAAAAGCCACCCCTTGTGAAATATGTCAGCTATTGCAGGTCTAGGTACCAAGACACAGAGATCATCAAAAAACTGAAAAAGAGAAGCAGAAAAAAGAAAAGAAGCATCCCACAGAGCTGACAAGAGTTTCCCCTACAGCCGGTTCTCTGAATTCAGACACCTCGCCTTCTAAGCAGTAAGAAAATAAATGTCTGTTTATCAAAGTCAGCCCCTTTTGATAGGTCTGTGACAGCACCTTGAGGAAATGCAGGTGACGGGGCAGTTACAACCTGATCCAGTGCAAAACACGTACCTTCTCAGCAAGGATTGTGGTCTTCAGAAATCTTTGAACACCTCCAGATCCTGAGGAGACACAGAAGAAGGCTTCTTCCAGTCGCTGTCCGAGTACGTCTCAAAGTTGGAGGTGTCGCCATCGCTGGACAATTTGGGGACGATGGGAGGCTGGGAAGGACCGAGGAGACAGAGAGGCACGGAGTTAGCATGGACAGATACAAACCCAGAGGCTGACATTCCATCACTTTGATGAGGTTACTCGATAGAAATGTGGAAATGATATTTTAAACCCCTCAAGGACAGCTCTCAATCGCTTCCCAAGAGCAGAATCTCTGTCACGAAAGCCCTAGTAGATTCCAAGGCAATTGACCAGTGTGTTAGGCAATGCTTTGCAAAAATGCCAGACAGTATTCGCTGGCGGTCAGCTATGGTGCCCATGGGCAATAGTACTGCAAGCCCAAAGCTGGTTCGAATCCCCCAGCGACTCGAAAGGGGCAATGATGCCCAAATCTCCTCCTGGGTCATTTACAGCCTCCAAAAACCCGTCAGAACGGTCAAGCAAAGGGTTGCTTCCAACTTGGTGGCCATGAGAAGAAGCATTTGTTATAAGGAGATTCATTTAGTGGGATTGTCCACCGTCAAGTTGACCACTGGCATGCACCAGCTTCTATCAAGTAGAATGACGGACGGTTGGTCCGTGTCCTCCTGAAATGATTTACAGCTTCAGAAATCCAGGTCCGCTTTGTGTTGGCTTTAGAACGACAGCAAGGACACAGAGAGAAGAAGCTTATCTTTCTTCCAAGGAACAGCCAGGGGGGATTCAAACCGCCGAAGAGGTTAGCAGGTTTGGGATTTCCTAGCCCGGAGCCTTAGGAGTGATATGACCAGCACCCCTGTTAAAATGATGTCTGGGCCCTACACCATGAGCCACAGAGCCAGAATCAGTCTCTCTCGGTGTTGCGAACTGTCCAGTTAATTTGACGTCCAGTTAATTTGACGTCCAGTTAATTTGACATCCAGTTAATTTGACGTCCGGTTAACTTGACGTCCAGTTAATTTGACTTACAACAATGCTGTGAAGAAGACAGAGAGGAACTGGCCTTTGGGTTGTCCTGGGCGAGGATAAAACACAGGGAGAAATAGAGAGAAAAATGGGGAAGAAACAGACCACACACTGACCACCACGCCTTACTCCTTTGGAGTTGAGGGTGGCTTCAAACCTCCGACCTCATGGGGCATAGCCAAGGGCTACAGCTCTATTGACCAGCACCTGCCCGGGTTCAGAGAAAAGTGTCCACCTGTGAGTGGTCTACCTTTAATTTCCTGAGCGGGACACTGTCCCAGTCCACCACGCGGAACCACCGATGCTTTTTGACGTCACTGGCTCCATTCTGGATGGGGTTAGAGGAGGGGAAAAAAACAAACAACAACAAAATAAGCAAATTTTTTTTAAAACCCAACAAATTCTACCAGCAGACCAGGAGACCCGTTGGTGTGATGTGTGTTAAGGGGAGACCACTCATTATAAGTTTACTGGTTTGAATCTACGATTTGCTTAAGAGAGAGTCTCCTTTTAGAAAGATTTACACAGCCTTGGACATTTGCTGGGGGATGTCTATGAGTTAAAATGGATTTTGGCGTTGTATTACCAAATTTTTTTAAAAAATGGGATTGGGGGGTTTTATTTCTCTGTAAAACAAGCTCTCTAGCCTAGTAGAGAAGAAGTTGTACTGCCAACCCAAAGTCAGATGGTTCAAATCCATTAACACCTCTGTGTGAGAAAGAGAAACAATCTCCTTCCAGGCAATTTACAGACTCTGAAAACCCACTGGACGGTCAGCTATGAGTTGGTTCTGACTCAAGGGTAATGACTTGGAGGGATTTTAAAAAAAAAATTATTCGGGAGATGTCATCCTAGTTGGGAATAAAGGGTTTTTCTTTTTCCCCTTGCTATGTTAATGAGTTCCTATGCAAAGCACTTGTCTGTTTAGTTTTGAGAAAGAAAACAAACCATCTAGGTACAAAAAAAGCAGGCCAAAAAAAGAAAAAGAAAGATAAAAAGAAAAGCAGACAAGCAGAGATGGGAAAGATCAATTTCAAGGGGAAATGTTTAAGAGTGAAAGAACAGAAACTATTAAGAAAAAAAGTTAGTGCAACAATGAATGAATGGAAATCCAAAATCTCTGTAAACGCTCATGAAAATTAATAAAATAAATTTTTAATGGACACTTTGGTTTTTTTTTTTTGGCTTACTCCATTCCTCTGTGAGGGCTATAAGCCAGAACGAAGTAGAAAGGGTGATTTCTGACCAATGGTAGAAATTGGTTTTTTAGACTGAACTATTTTAAGTTTCTGCTCTTTTAAGTCTTCAGTAAAGTCCAGAGCCAAGAATCATTCATACAAATAAAAGTTTTTGAAGGGAAATAAATAAAAATAAATAAGTTTTTTAAAAACAGACAAAGTTAGAGGTTCAAATCTGCCCAGAATCGTCTCAGAACCTAAACCTGGAGATCTCCTCTTAGAAAAAAATGAGTCACTCAAAATCCTAGGAAATGATGCCTGGCTACTATTCCTGAACATTTTTTTGTAAAAGATGTTGCATTTTTAAAATAGATAGATAGATAGATAGATAAAAATTCCTTGATCAAAAGGAGGGAAATTGCAGAACAGAATTTTAAATTCTCGTTAAATCCAGTCTTACAAGAAACTAGTAAGACTAAATGGGTGTCAAAGCTAAGAGGGGGGAGAGAGAGAAAGAAGTACAAAAGGAGAAAAAGGAAGGAGAGAAAGAGAGAGAAAGACCTGATTTTGGACTTCTATTCTCTTCAACTGTGAAAAAATACATTTCTGTTCTTGGAAATCTCTCCCCAGTGGTAAGAAAACCATCATAACACCAGGTTTTGGAGACGGCTGGGAAAAAATAAATAAATAAAAATACGGCCAAGATTCTCTTCCATTAGATGGTATAGAAATAAGATGAGGTGGACTTTCCTTTAAGGATGTGCCTGAGGTAGTGTGAGGCTGTAAATCAAGTTGTTAGTCCTTGGGTGATATATAAAAATTTTGGGGTTTCAATTCCACCCAAAGGTACCTTACAAGAAATATATCTGACATTTCACTCCCAGAAAAATCAGCCACAGGTCCTCCTAGGGGGTCATATTTCACTATCATTTCTCACTACTTTTGGGTAAAGGGGGAAAAAAAAAAGAATTGTGATCAAAAGAGGGGAGGAATACAGAACAGAAGCTTAAACGTTTACAAATTTCACACTTCCTAGAAACACAGCAGATAGACAAACCCTTAAAACAATCTCTCAGGGATCATCATTACACTAGCATCTAAAAATACCCCTGAATTCTTCTTAAAAAGAAAGAAAGACGCTCAATGCGTTGAATTGACACAGCGACTGTATCAACGTAGTCGAACAATTGTCAACAATTGTGACGGTGGTATATTTGTTCTGTTGATTGTAGGTTTGAGAAGAATCAGAAATTATTCTATAGTGCTTATCAATAACAAAAAGAGAAAATGTATAACGTGGATGAACCCAAAAAATATGTCTTAAAGACAACTATGGAGATAAAGCCCCAGACACCGCTCAAAAGCTCTGTCTTGTACAAAATCAAGTGAATTCAATCTTACCAGTGTTTGAAAGAAAGAGTTATATAGGGAAGGATTCCTTGTGAGTTTCTGTGCGTAGCTGCTATCACCCGGGGACCCCACATCTTACTGACCTTCATGTTCCCGAGTCTTTTGGTCCTGTCCACCACGAGGAGTTTCCGGATGAGGTCTCTGTTGGTCAGAAGCAAACACAATTCATGGACCTTTCGACGACAAGGCTACGTTGGTGACAGAACATGACACCAAAGAGAGAAAATTTATCAAATCCTTAGATTCCTAAAAAGAACAAGAGTTTTAAAAAAAAAAGAAGAAAGGAAAAGAAAAAAGCAGACCTACTGGGTTGGATGAGATTAGAAGACACACATACTCTTATCTCAACCCAAGGGAAAATAATTTTTTTTAATTGAAGCACATTCACACAGTGGAATACTACGCAGCACTCAGGAGCAATGATTTTTAAAAGCTATTCTGTAACTTGGGAGAGACTGGAGAGTTTTGTGCTGGGTGAACTCACTCAGTCTTATAAGGACAAATATTGTGTAAGGCCATTATTGTAAAAAAATAAAAGGATAATTAGTAAAACAGATGCGGAAACTTCAGGGGGGAAGGAATGGGAGCAGAGGGGTGGGGACGGGTTGGCGAAAAATCACAGGGTTGCTCAATTTGGTGAGTAGAGTGAGGGGGTGAGGGAAATGGGAAAAAATCCAGTGGGAACCTGAAAAGATTGGAATGGGCAAAATCCAAGAGTGATCCATTTTATTAAACCCAATGCATGGGAATGATTGGCTGCCACACCATATGACTAAAGAATAATGTGAAATACAGTGTATACAAATTTGGTGAGCAAACCAATATAAAATTTTAAAAAAGCACAATATGAAACACAACGTACACGAACTTTATAAGCAAAGCAATAAAAGGAACCAGAGGTAAAAAAAAAATCATCTTGACCTTTAATTAATAATTAATTAATCACCTCACACCTATTTGGTTCTTCAAATACTGAAGATTTCCTGGATGTTGAAAACACAACCCAAAACAAAAAAAAAAATCCATTTTCAGAAGCCACACCTTCAGTACTGACATTAAAACAGCTGAGAAGAGGAATAGGGAAACTAGACGTACAGATGCAAAACAACCAGAATGAATACAATCAGCATATTCAGACAGGTGTCACCGGAGAATCTGTGTAGAAATTGTTCACCGGAGCCTTAAGTGAATGCCACAAATCTGTCAAACACGGTGCAGAATAGTCTTTAAAAAGGGCTACTTGATAGCACAACATGACCACCACATTTTTTTTAAAAGCCAAACAGTTCATTTAGAACTGAGTGCTTTTTTGGTTTTGGTCTTTCCCCCCTCAAAGATTAGATCTTAACATAGATTCTCTTGGGTCGTCCATAAAGAAAATACATCTAAAACCTTATGGGTTACCACAGAACACAGTGAGATACAAAAAAGGAAAATAAATGCCTCTGGGTGGGAGGGATCTTAAGACCTTCAAGGACTTGCAGGAACTGACATGCAGTTTAAAAATGGGCCCCAACGGAGCAGAGACAAGGGAGATGGGATCTGACAGGGCACACAGTTCGCTTCTGTAAAGCATGCAGTCCAGTTTGGCCACAATCAACGTCTTATCTTGATTTGCTGTCTCATAAAGCATGTCATCAAACGACCCAAACTTCACAGAGAAGGAACAGATCAAATCTCTTAGGAACAGACCTGGGTGAGGCAGGGCAGGGAACCCTGCTTCCTGGGATGAGTTTGAAAAAAAAACCACAAAAAAAAACAACCAACCAAAAAAACCCAATTCCAGATACCAGTGAATTAACACGTCATAATAACACAAACCAGCTGTTCTTTCCAAAACAGAGAGGCATGTGCAGGCTGATGGGATTCTCTGACTCTCAGAGGACAATTGTAACATGCTTGAGTTTGCACCAGGACACAGACATGGGGTCTGTCCAAACTGACCCACAGATGACCCCCCTAGAGGGTTTTCGGAGAAGCTGAAAATCACACAGGCAGAGATGCTACCAGAGCTCTGAGGTGGACCTACGTGTCAGAGACCTCTCCAGAGAACTGGAGAGCAATGATGTCACTCTAGAGACTAAGGTGCACCTGATTCAGGCTGCGGTCTCTGCAATCACTTGCTGTGTATCAGAGAGCTGGACAACGACTAAGGATGACAGAAGAAGAATCGATGCCTTTGAGTTGTGGTGCTGGAGACGACTATTGAATATACATCAAAGACTACTTCAGAGAACAAATAGGTCCATCCTAGAGAGGGTGAAACCAAGCTGCTCCTTGGAGGCCAGGATTCTGAAGCTTCGTCTAAACATACATGTTGCAAGGAGGGACCAGTCCTTGGAGAGGGACGTCATGCTTGAGAGGGTGGAGGGACAGCACAGGAGAGAAAGACCCTTGATGAGATGGATCGATTCAGTGACTGGGGCCATGGGGGGGTAGGTGTGTCAGAGACAGTGAGATTGGCTCAGGACAGAAGAGGGATCAGATATGTTGTACAGTGTGTAAGTCGAGAGACTTGATGTCACATAACAAATGTGTGTGTGTGTGTGTGTGTGT